GTGGATTTTCTCACCAGAACACTTGTAGAGTTGGTAAACGCTTTCCCCCTCAGAGCTCCTGTTCAGCCCACCTCAGCCCTGTTACCTGTGTAACTCTTCCCCAGTCTAATTATGCATCTCCAACAATCTTCAAGAGATGCTGTCAGTTATTCACACTGTGGATTCTGCCTGAGTCGATGCCCTTCCTATGGAATTTTCACTTCTTCTACCTACTCACAGAAGCCTGCTGAATGGTGACCTATGTTCATTTAACCTTCCACCCCATCCCCTTCTTCTCCTTCCTAGACACCCTCCTTGGGTCAGCCTGGAATCTCTTCAAGCCCTCAAACATGACATCTTAATATTCAAGTATGCTATTTTTTCCCCTGAAAGTCTTTTCACAAGGCTGAACTGGAGGCTCCTCCTATGTGAATCAGGGTCCTTATTTGCTTTCCTGCAGCGCTGAGCACTGTCTCTGAGAACCGAAGTCCCAGATGCAGGTTATCTACAGAGCATATGCTCTGTGGGAGCAGCGCCTTTGGCTATCACTGGGCCATTGTGTCTTGAAGACTGCCTGGCAGGTGGCAGTGCAGCATGTTTGTAAAGCAGCATAAACAGAGCGGAAGGAAATCTAGTGGTTTTAAAGATGTCGTGGGTCAGAATTATGTAAAGGAAATAGCAAAGAAATGAAGAATTCAAATTTGTTGAGAGGCAAGAGAATGTTGAGGTTTGTCCCTTAAATGTCATTGACTTAACAAAGAAGCTTCAATCACATCTTTGACTGAAAAGCCAGAAAGTTGTAGCCTGGGGAATAGATGTGGGGAGGGAAAGTGAATTCAGCCATGCCCCCAAACTTCCGGGAAGTGTGTAGACAGTGTATCACTAAAGTATGTCATGAAAATAAACAAAGCAAACAAGCAAGCAAGCAAACAAACACACAAAAACAGCACTGGGAAACGTGAACATGCTCCCCATTTTTCCTACTTGTCTTGCTTTCTTGATCACAGAGAAAATTCTCTAAGCATTTCCTATTGCATAGTAAAGAGCGGCTTGCTGTCTAAGGCAGATCTGTGCTATTTTCCTTGTTCCGAAGCTTGAAATCCTTCTAGTCTTTCAGTCCACCTGAACATTAACTGTTGTCCTTCCTTTTACTTAAAAAGTTATCCTTTCTATAGAAGCATGCAAACTGTATTCTGATACTGAATTTTGATTTTTTGACCAGTCCTTCCCCTGCCCTTCTCCGGGTAGTCTTCGAAGCCTCAACTTTGAGCTTCAGTGTTATCACAGGTACACTGCTTCAGTGACAGGCACACCAGGCCATCTAGGCTGCAGTCAACACTGACGTGGCTGATGCTCACTCTTCAGGCGGAGGCCTGGCTTCCCAGCTGCAGCCAACACTGGCATGGCTGATGGCATGGCTGATGCTCACTCTTCAGGCCGAGGCCTAGCTCCCAAGCTGTACTTTCCTGGGAGTCACTGCTAATTTTGAAATCTGCTTTTCAGTCGCCTCTGTGCAAGAGGCACTTGGTGATAGGTGTGGCCAAGAAGCTCTCTCCTTGGCTCTACATGACTCTGCTGACTGCAGCAAACAAAGTTTTCATGGCCCACCAAATGTTAGAGTTTATGATGAGGAGAGTCCTCACCCGAATAGTAAAATACCTGGTTTATTAACATTAAGTCCAGGAAATGGTCATTATCTTCAACACAGCAAAGTTAATCTCTCACTAGGAGAAAGAAGAAACATTTAAGAATGGGGGGGGGGTGTTTAATCATCAGCTTTTGAGATAGCAATAAACTCTCCAAGTTTTGGAGAACATACTATCTGGCTATTTGCCAAGACCTTGTCACTAAATGTATTATTTTAATTTGTTTTTCCCTTGCCATATCTCCCCTTTTCCCAGCCAGTTCTATACTGACCTCATCAAGTGACCACACTGTTTCTGAAGTGAGTGCTGACATTACACATAAAAATAATCTCTAGTTCAGTGGAAGAATGTCTCCTGTGTTCCTGGAAAACCCAACACACACAGAGGTTTCAAGAGTACTGGTCCTTGTACATCTGTTTCCTGGTGTAATTCCATCAGTCACAGATGAAGAACGCTAATTACTTTGTTTATACGTGTGTGATTTAATGAGACTAACCAGTTAACCAATCTTCAATAAGTGCAATTTATTTCCCATTGTTTTTTCTAAAGTTAATAAAAATTATGCCAAGCGCACTTTCTGGAAATGAGGGCATTGTGCAATTCAAGACAAAGGAGAATTTCATGGGCAGTTGGCGAGTTATGTATAAAGCATCGGCAGGATGAGCTGGGGAAGTATTAGGCTTGTGGGCCACCATTAGAGTCCAGTAATGGAAGGATTTATCATAAACTATTCTGCCAAACTTCCAAGGCTAGTGCTAAAATTCTAATATGTATTAGAAGAACTTACTATAAGCAGCACTATATTGCTGGCAGATTCAGTCCACAGTCTATTTATCATTACCGTCCTTTCACAGTTATCATGCTCATGCTTGAGGGAACTGAAAATGTGGCATTGTGACTACTTCTTTTGAATAATAGTGTAAAAGAATGCCATCATAGTTTGTTTTTTTTTTTTTTTAGAAATAAATATGCATTTTAAATTATCTTCTTTTCTACTTACTTTCAAGTTATTCAGAATGGAATCCATGCTCTGGGATGTTGCTCAGGAGGAGAGGGCTCAGCCAGAACAAGTGATTCCTTAGATTTTTCCGAGAATTGCCTATACCCACCACCTACACTGATCCATGTGCTGGGGTGTAGTTCAAGGGTAGGGTGCTTGCCAGCAAGTGTGGTGCCCGGATTATTCCTTGCAAACACTCATACCCACACTGGATCCATGTGCCTGAAGTTTTAAAGAGATGAGTGGATAGAGAAGATGAAAAGCAACTCTATTCTTACATTAAGATACATTTTGATATATTTGGATGCATTTGGATACATTTGGATACTCAACTATTTAGAGCCAGGGGTCAGCAAGCCACAGCCTGTCCACCAGACTTCCAAAATCTCAGCCGGATTTGGAAATTCTATGCTGGAATGCGTTCACGTCCATTTGTATAAGGCCCATGAGTCTCTCCGAGGTATAAACTGAAGCAGGATTTAGTAACTGCAGATGAGACTATATAGCCTTCAAAGATGAAAGAATCATTAGCCCTTTATAGAAAAACAAAACAAAACAAAAAAAACCTTGCTGGTCATGTATTTCAGCAATAAACAAGGATAGAAATTCCCAAGCAACAACAATATTATAATAAAGGTTGTAGTTTGTTGTGATGAAATAAAGATTGGGACAATATTGTCTTATAAGCTAGTTAGCTTATAAGACATGGTTAGGTCTTTCTGAATCTACATAGCTATTCCTTATACTTTGAAAAAAAAAAAAAAAACCTGAAGCACGGATGACTGAGACTCTAGCAGCCAACCACTAAGGGTGTTTAGATCATGAATTATTTTTAATGTGAATATGTAAATCTATTACCCAGATAAGCTAAATCTTACTTTATGGACTCAGACCATTGGAGTGAGTTTGTGTAACAGAAAACATGCTAGTTTGAGAGACAGCTGGACTGTGGACATGCACAATGTTTCCAGCAATTCAAACCCGGGGAAACGACCTCAAGTTTTGAGGTTCTGTTCCTCTGGGGGTTGTAGTATCTGTATCCAGAAGGTGCTCTGAAGACTAAATGCACATCAGAAATTCCCGGTGCTATGCTAGACATGTTAGAGGATACTAACAGATGTGGAAGGGTTTTTTTTTTTTTTTCATTTTTAGTTTGTGGGGTTTGATATTTTAAGAGCAAGACATGGTTTGTATACCTGGTTGGCATTGTTGATAAGCTGAGTTCAAACTAGAACCTCCAGTGGCAAATAACTAGCAATAAGTGGTCTGGACTTGTGTGAGGACCTGAAATGATGTCACCAGCAAAGAAGCATGGGGGAAAACATGCTGAGGGCAACACAGAGGATTTCAGCCTGCCCACAGCATAGCAGCTTTCTTGGTTAACCTCAGGGTGACCCCTACATTTCTAGCCAGAGATGCCTGCAAATACCATGCAGGATATTAGATTCATGTGCTTACAGACAGGACTAGAAATACCCAGATTGCTAAACATTGGCTTTTTTCTTCAGTGTAAGAAATGGACAACTGTCTGCATCCAGTAGACTGGAAATGGTTATGTTGATACCTGGTAATCTTTGCTGTTTTGAAAGCCAGTCTCACTGAATCCTCTCAAACTCTGAGCATTGCTTCTCAGTCAATAGAACTCGGTGTGTGTGTGTGTGTGTGTGTGTGTGTGTGTGTGTGCGCGTGTGTGTAATATCACAGGCGCTTCACTAGAGAGGTGTACTTTGCAAAGGAGTCTCTCCGAAGTAGCCATGCTTACAGCTTTGTCCTGATGGTTGTCACATGGAAACTTTTCCCCAACATTTTACTGTATTTAAATATGTAAGAAATAAATTGCTTGGGGTCAGACTCCAGAAGTTTTGGCCCAGGCCCGGCTAACAAAATCTAGCTGAACTTAAGTTTTGTTCCCATCTCACCCTGATAGTTTCCCAATATATGTAGAATAATACATATATTGAAGTATTTAAGGGAAACATTGGTGTGTACTTTTCTCATGCATAGACAGGACATAGATGAAATATACTAGTTCTACCATTAGTGAAGCATTAATGAAGATCATGATGTTTCATTCTTGTGAAATCAAGCGGAAACAAATAGGTGCAAAGGTGGAAATCAATGGTTTGTGCTAAGGACCTTTAGAGAAAAATATTTTATTTGAAAGATTTTAACATACTCATGGCATGTACTTTTCTATTGCAGCATACTGAACTGCACATATGTTAAAGCTCTCTCTCAACGTGCTTATCTTTAATTGATACTCTGTTGGCAATTTCCCTTTGCATGATTTATACTTTTCTCCTTTGTGCACTTGGCTTCCTGTTGTGGAAAGTCACCTCTCTCTTCTTTCTGTCCTGACTGTCCACCACCCATAGATGCCGGGTCACTTGTGTCCTTGAGTCAGTAGGAGCAAACCTTCATCAGTCCACATCAACACCAGTGAGCCAGAAGGAAACCACAGCCAAGTCCCAGGAACACCATGTTCTGCCGGAAGTTCAAGGATCTCAAGATCACAGGGGAATGTCCTTTCTCCTTATTAGCCCCCGGTCAGGCTCCTAAAGAGCCAACTCAGGAGGTGGCAGAAGGCTCCAAGGGCAGCCAGGCCACTATGCCCATAAGCCAGGACATTCCTGAGAAGAATCCACAAGGGGACCTTCCCCAGAGAAAGACAAGCCGGAACAGAGTCTACCTGCACACGCTGGCAGAGAGTATTTGCAAGCTCATCTTCCCAGAGGTGGGTACTGCTACCTTTAGCAATGACAGCGGTATTTCAAAATTGGAAAAGCTAAGGGTTTCAAAAGAAAATACTTAGAAATGGGTTTCACACTTCTAATGGCACAGTAAAACATATTTCCTTGAAACATATGAAAACTGGCTTTTAAAATAACAATATTCTAAATTGTGTGAAATCTTTAAGTTTCACATCTTGAATTTCTTTCCAAAGATCATTAGATTCTGAAAAAATCCTGTCTTTACTTCATCCCTCAAACTCAGCTTCCTTTATCTGTGAAATGGAATTGTATCACATCTACTTCTGTGTTACTGCACACTGAATGAAATCATCTTGCCCTAGGAGTACTAGAGAAGGGGAGTGGTTCAGCCATTCAGTAGGAGAGCAATGCTGCCCTACCAACAAAGGAGGAGCCCGGTGGGAGGAGGGTGCCTGAGGAACAGGCGACTAGAAGTGAAGCTCTGGGCGAAGGGGAAGCAGAGTGAGCACAAAGTTGAAGATGCTGATTTCAAAGATGATATTGCATATTGCAGCTTAATGACTTTTGAGATGAAAATATGTACTCGTTTTTCCCAATCCCAGTCATTAGCTACCCAGCTTTGTTGAGATTGGGAGACAGGGCCCTTGCCACAGAGGTGGAGCCGTGGCTTGCATTGCATCTGGGAGATTTTATCCTAGGACAGAGTGAGATGTAGGGTGGCAAATGTGTGAAGCTCACTATTTTCTTTAATGGTCTCTGCTGATATCTAATTTTTTTGTGGATAATGATTTTATTGTCTTTGTCTACATTCTCTTACAGCTTATTAAACTTCCTCAGGATTATTATTCTAAATTCTTTGTCATTTCTCCAGGGTTGATGACTGGAGATTTACTTTTTTCTCTCTGTCACATTTTCCTGAGAGTTTTTATTACTTTTTTTTTTTTGCTGTCTATGTATATTGAGGAGGCCACCAGATTGTCAGTCTCTGTTAACTGACTTTGATATTGGAAATGCCTTGAGCGATTGGCCAGCCAGAAGTTCTGGGCATCTCTGAAATGCATTTCTTTTTCTCTCCCCATTTCCTGGAGGAGAAGCCACATCTGTGCCTTCTCACAGTATAGAACAGGCAGGCTACTGCAAGTTGTCCTTTCTTTTCTCTAAGGGAGTGGTGAAAAGCCAGGTGCACTATCCAACTGTCTTTTTGAGAATGAGCTGTGTTGTTGGCTTCTGCACTCATAAGGGTGATTCCTGAGCTCTGACCACAGTGCCATGCAGCAGGGATTCTTGGAGGGAAGAATACAATATTTCTTGGCATTCTTCCACAGTTACAGTCATTTGCTTTATGGCAGTAAATCCTCCAATGTTGAATGTGTTTGAAATGTGTAGTAAATCAGTCTATACTTTTTTATCATCTGTCCAAATATATGCTTGGTTTTCTATTGATACATCTGCTTTCCATGTGTTATTTTTGAGTGGCATCACATTTAATGCTTGCATTTTAGTTTTGGTTACTTCAATAACCTCTGAATAAAATTCAACTTCACATAGTAGTATTTATTTTATATAATCATATTTAACTCTCCAATTATGTTTTTATGGAAAGATAGTAAGAATGAAAATCCATTAGTCCGAGCAATTTTGTAATAGTAACTCCCATTCTGTATAAGTGACCTGTCTGAGTTTAAAAAGGCTTTCTTTTTTTTAAAATTTTTTATTAATTACACTTTATTCACTTTGTATCCCCGATAAGCCCCTCCCTCCTCCCCTGCTGATCCCACCCTCCCTCCCCTTTCTTCACGCATGCCCCTCCCCAAGTCCACTGATAGGGGAGGTCTATGGCTTTCTTGACCACCTAACGAAACTTTCCATTTCTACTTGAAAAGCAACAACTAAGGCACATAAAGGTGCATCATTTGTTCAAAGTGAAAGAGATAACTGGTGGCGGATAATTCTGCCTCTCATTGAAAATTCATAGAATAATTTATCCTTGTGAATTAAAATAGTATTAATTTAGAAAAGCATTAAAAAGAGGCTTCTAAGGAGATATCTCAGCGGGCAAAGTGCTTGGTAAGGAATCATGAGACCCTGTGTTTAATGCTCAGAAGTCATGTGAAAAGCTGGACATGGAACATACACTTGAAATCCCAGCAGTAGGCAGGAGGAGATGGATGTAACACCGGGGCTTGCTGACTGGCCGGAGAAGCTTAGTTGGAGAACCTCAGTGGGGTATCTTGACTTAATATGAAAACAAAACAAAGCTCAAGGAACAATACCTGTGTTTGATCCCTGGAGTCCATGGCACACAGGTGAACACGTCTACAGACTAATACCCCTCGAAACACACACACGCATTTATCACACTAACTACAACAGGCAACTAAATCATGGCTTATCCATAAACAATAACAACGAAATTCGATACACCAAGTTTCAGAGCATTTACAACAGTGCTGTTTCTAATGGTGGTTGTTTCTAAACTGTCCATGTGATATATTCATGACACAGGTGTGCTTCAATAAGAATTCCTACATGTTCTCTGTCACACCAAATGATAATTGTTGAGAAAGATAAAAGTGAGAATGATTACTTCTAAGACATCCCTTCCTCTGTTCAAGAATTCCATGAGTCACTATAAAAAGTCTCAGACTAGAGACTTCTCAAATATAAAGACGTTTTCAGACAGAGCAAATAAGTGTAAGCATTACATCCAAGTACATCTTCATGAGCTGATGAGAATAATCAGGTGACTTACAGGGCTATGGGTAGTACAAAAACAGCAACATCATACTAAACACAGCCCGAGTGGTGACTTCACAAAGGTGGGGAGGAAAAAGGAGTCTCATCTTTAAGTAATCTTCCTCCTCTCGTAGACTCCTGCATTCTGCAAGATAAAGCACATTTGTGGGGCAGCAGAAAATAACAGCTAAATTCCTAGGGGAAAAATTCCCTGCCCCTCCCCCCCCCCACCGTTTCTTCTGCTAGGGACTATTTACAACCTCTATACCATAACAATTTATCACTGTATTGTTTTATTTCATTGCTATAGCTATGGGACCAAGACAAGTGATGACTCTTGGTCATGTCAGGCTCCAGTCTTGTCTAACCTAGAAGAGGCCACCCACTACTCCATTGTTATAGGACAAAATTTAGTGTCCCACAAAAGTTTGTTACAAAAACATACTCGTGCTTCCTTAAGAATTCTATAGTTTTATTTAAAATAAATTCAGTCTGACTAGAGTGGAAAGCCCAGAAAAAACTTTTGTTCCACCATCTCCAGCAATGCTGGAAAAATATATCAACTTTACTCCTCCCCAATTTACTATGCCAGTGCATGTTAGGAGGAAGGAGCCAACCATGGGAAGGACTGAAAACGCAAGAGCAAAAGAGCACCTGAGAGTGTAATCGGAGAGCAAGAGAAAAATATTTCCTACAGCACCACACAGGAAGAAGGACAAATTCCCCATGACAGGACTGCTTAGATTTTCTTTCTTCATAGTCAATCAACAGGAGCTGACCAGGGGCTGATAGAGATGAGCACAATGAACTTTTCTTGCCATTTCTGTGCTTCTACTCTACTAGGTAAAAGAGAGAATAAGGAAAACAAACAAACAAACAAAACTTGGGTAGCAGCACTGAAAGAAAACGAAGACCTCTAAGACCTCACACACAGGGGAGAGGCAGTCCCCCTTCCCCCGCTGACCCATTCCTCACATGAGCATGTTTTGCAGAAGGTAGACTCACAGGAGCCTGTGGTTCCTGGGTTGATATCACAGTGGTGTCCTACAGCCAGGGATGCAGAGTAACTCCTGAGAAAATGAGCTTCCAGGCACCTGGGTGAGATGCTTCTTCACATCCTCACAAATTGCTTTGGGCCTTTTTGTTGTTGATGATGTGAAAAACTACTGGGACATGTTTCCTTCTAAACCCATGACTCAGCTGTTAGCTTTCAGGCTCTTTGCTGTCAGGGTCAACAGGGCCTGCTCAAGACTCTATTTCTTGTATTCAGTTTTTCTTTCTCCTGTCACAGATGTGTCCCCTTCTCCATTCCTGAACCATCAGACAATCTGCTCTACACTACCAATGTAAATTCTCTTTTACTTTCTTTCAGTGATTGCATTTTCTTTGAATAAATTTTATATGTATTTTCTAAGCTTGATTTGCATATTTAGAATTCAAAATCCTTTTCAAATAAGCTCTCTCTACTTTTTTAAAAACAGCATTGCCTTCTGTGACTGGTAGAAACTCTATGAGAGATATAAATAGATTAGTCAAAAGGAATTTCTCAACTTGGATCACACCCAGAAAGTTCTCAACTTTGCTCTGTGTAAACTGAAAATAAGAATCAATAATCATGTATCTAGGCATAGACATGTTCGATTTTTATACAAGATGCAAAACTGAACATTTCTCATTATGTTCCTTCTTGTTTACCAAGCAGAAACAAAGATACCTTAAAATTGGTCAGTAGATAATAAAAAATCACATATTAAGTGGAGGGGAGTTGCTTATGTATGTCTCAGAACAAGAAAACTCAAAGAGAAGAGAAACCTTGGGCAGAGACTTGTCTGTGACAAGCTGGAAACCTACGACAGGGTTGGCTCCTGGCTGAGACTCTTTGTAACGGGTCATGGAGACTGAAGAGGACACCCTCTAACTAGACATGACTCCTAATGGAGGGAGGGGAACACTAACCCACCCACAAAAACTTCAACCCAAAATTTACCGGGCTACAAGATGTGCAGGGATAAAGAAGGAGCAGAGATTGAGGGAATGTCCAACCAATGCCTGGCCAAACCTGAGACCCACCTCATGGGAGAGAGCCAGCCTCTGACACTCTTAACAATACTCTGCTGTGCTTACAGGTAGGAGTCGAGTGTAGCTGTCCTCTGAGAGGCTCCACCCAGCAGCTGATGGAAACAGATGCCGAGACTGACAGCCAAACAGTGTGAAGCACAGGGAGTCTGTGGAAAAGTTGTGGGAAGGACAGAAGGGCCAGAAAGGACAGGTCACCACAAGGATACCAACAGAGCCAATGAACCAGGGCCCAGAAGGGGACTGTGGAGACTGAAGTACCAACCAAGGACCATGCATGGACTGAACCTAGGCTCCCTAAACAGATGTAGCTAATAGGCGGTTCATAGAGTTTCCTAGAAAGGGGGATGCGGGCTGACTCTGACATGGACTCTGTTGCTTTTTTTTTGATCACTATCCCTAGGCGGGGCTACAGAGGAAGAGGATGTGCTCAATCCTGAAGCAACTTGATATGCTGGGGTGGGTGGGGTTCCCTTTCTCTGAGTGGTAGAAGGATAGGGAAAACAGGGAGAGAAGGTGGGGCCAGAAGGAAAGGAAGGAGGGATTCTACGACTGGGATGTTAAAAATAAAAGTACCAATATTTGGTATGGATTGTTAGTTCAAAAATGGAAATTAGTATAGTAAAGATAAGCCCAAGACTCTTCAAATAAGCAATTGTGACAGATTAATTTTAGGGTTAAAAGGGCAGCAGTAGAGATAACTGCAGATCAGATTTTTAGACTAGAATGTCTGAAATATGAGTAGAATATGTGGGAAAGGGTGCTGTAATCCTTGGGTGAGCGGTGGAGGAGATACAGTTTATAGAAAGGGAACAGAATGTGTCTGGCTTGAGCTCTGCACTTGAAATATTGGCAGTGTGTCCTGGGAGACTCCCTGGCCCAAAGGAAGTGATGTCATGGATTCCTGCATTGCAGAAAGCCTGACATTACAAGCTGGCATCTTCGGTTTGGGTTCAGACTAAGATCGACTCTGTGAAACATATGGACAAGTGCAAGGCCCAGGGACCCACACACAACGAAACACAAAGTCTGAGCTCACTGATTCTACCTGGGATTGAAAAATACGTGTGAACAAAGTCTCATTGACCAACATAGCAAATCCATGACACACTCACCCTCAAGTACAAGTTTCCATTCCTTTATAAGACATCTTAAGGAAATGTTGCAAATATTTCTTTTTATTTCTAGTTTGAGCGACTGAACCTTGCGCTTCAGAGAACACTGGCAAAGCATAAGATAAAAGAAAACAGGTAAGCATACCACGTCCGTTGTATGACCCCTTGTCCCACAAATATTCCTAAAAAAATAATTAATCCTTATGGAATATATTGACACAAGATTTTCATTATATACCAAAAACTAAGCTAAGCATGTTAGTAACTATAAATTTGAAATTAAATGCACTTACTTTTAAAGGTTTCAGAAGAGATGGAAGGTGTGAATTTTTTAAAAAATCTGGTTTGTATAGTTGGTTTTGAAAATAGAGCTGGTCACATGCTTCTGGTGGATAATTGACGATCTCTGTTCTTAGTCCTTCTTAGTGAATAGCAGAGTAAATGCTGGGTTCACCTCTGCAGAGGAAATCATGGGAGTTTGCAAACCAGCAGAGCGGGGAGCCCAATCTACAAACACCTTCCTGTGTCTCTCCTCTCTTAAGCATCTTTGTCTGCACCGTGGATTATCTGGGCTGAACTTTCCTGCTGAGTAAAGGGCTGTCAGACTTCATGCAGGCAGCAAGGCTAGGCCAAGAAAGGGGAGTGTGAATCTGTGTCTGACAGAAGCTGTGGACTGGTCAGAGCTGACAGGAATTCCGGGCGCCTCTGCCTCTGCCCCTAATTCCCAGGCAGGCTGATAAGATAGCTTCCAGGCAATTCTGCCTGCTACTGGGGCTGTGGGCTCAAGTCCTTGGCAGTCAGCGCGTTTGAGATTTATTCTCAGGCCTTTGTGCTCTAAACCATCCCTGCTGCTAGAAGGAGCTCTGCTTTCTGTGGAGCACCCAGCAAGAGACTCCCAACAGTGAAACGCTCAGCAGCAAGCATTTCATTTGGAAATCTTTTGTTAAGGAGAAGAGATGCTGATTCTGGTCCCCGATGGTGACCCAGTTTGATGCAGCAGGGTTTCCCCTCTGCCTGCTGCTGTGTGGAGTGACTCTGTCTCATTTCTCTTTGTTCTTTCATTCTTGGGCATCCCCTGTGTGCTTCTCTTCCTCACATGCCTGTTGGTGCCTCACATTCTGTTCTTGCTAACCTTGGTCTGCCAGCAGATGAACAGGTCTTAACCCGGTTTTGTGCAGCTCATTTCTGGGGCTTACAGTTAAAACACAAACAATGTATTAAGCAGTGCACCGTCCTTGAATGAAAGACCAGAGTCCAGTTCTCATCTATTAAAGTCACTGGGACCTCTTGCTGCTCAGCGAACTGCTGTGGTTTCTCTTCCTTCTCTCTCTCTCTCTCTCTCTCTCTCTCTCTCTCTCTCTCTCTCTGTGTGTGTGTGTGTGTATCTGAGAGAGAGAGAGAGATTTACTGGCCACTCCCAAGGCTTGCTGCTGCTGTGTTTTTAGCTTCCACTTCACCATATGCTCTTTGGAATGACAAAGCTCTGCTCTCCTCTCCTCTGACAGCATGAGTGTCAGAAAATGGCAGTATTAGCATGAGGAGATCTGCTCTAATTTTTTAGAACAAAATCTGCTTAAATGAAAAAATGAAGGAAAGATAAGTGTTTGTTATTGTAATGAATTATCTAACAAAAAGTTTGTGGCTCACCACATCCAAATCGAGTATAACATTATATTATGAGCCTTAGTCCATTTAGATAAAATATTTCCACTGGTACTTTACATACCAGCATCATATTTCTATGCAACAAAGTGCTGTCCTGGGCCAATTTTCCTTCTTACAAATATTTTCCTCTAAAATTTCTTAAATTATAGTGTTTTATTAAAACGCTATTTTAAAACAGCACAAGTACACCTGCACTTAAATCTGGCTCAACTAGTGACAAGTACTTGCAATTAAATAGAACCTTTTATGCTCTTAAGGTGCTGTAAGAGTTTGGCAAATCTGGTCATAATCAGTCACTATAATGAGAAGCTTTCCAAAAGCAAATAGCCAGACAGTAATGACAAGGTCGTGCAGTTGATGTATAAAGGCGCTGACATTCTGTATTGCTGAGCGTCAGGGGTAGTAAAACATAATGTGATTCCTAAGCACAAAAATGTCTAAAATGTAAATGTTCAGTTAAGAACTATAGAAAAAACCCAGAAGATTCGGACTTTAGCCTATGTCTACAATAATAACAATAAAAATAACAACAAGCATAGCAAAAAGAAAACTAAAATCCAAGGAAAACTCATACCTTCGTAGCTAATCATCCAGTACCTAAATTATTGCTATTCTTAGGTTTTCTACAGTTAGAAGAAAAAGGTTTCTCGGGTGAAATTCTTTCGGCATCCTACTGATCCTTGTACATGCTGTTACTGTTTCATCTTCCATTTTCTAGAATGTGATGATTGACGAAAAGAATAGATTTGTAACTAGTTTGTATATAAGATCAGGCATAAAAATTGGGAGACTAATGTCTGGAATAATGATAAAGATTCCTAATCTCAATAGTAAGAACTCCTATATTTTATGTTTTGGCTTCAAGAAAAGATGCTACGGAAGAACAGTGAAATCCATTGTAGGTAGATTTTTTATCTCATTTAGATAATTACCCCTTGAGGACGTATTAGCATCTTTTTCTTGATTTTGGTGCTAGGGGTGAGCCCAGGTCCTCCATGGCAGGGCAGTTCCTCTGCCATTTAACCTTGTCCTGCCATTCTCTTCTTGACCATCACTCATTCCTGATTATGTGCTGGGGTAGATTCTCTCTCACAGTGACAAGTGAATCATAAAGGCAGATCTGCCTCGTGAGGCAGTATGAGACATTCCATGCTATGTATACTTTCATATTTAGTATGTTAAGATTTGCTTTTGGAAAATCATCTCATATTGCTATCTATATGTTGTATATGATCTGAATTTTCAGGACTTGTTTATCAGCTTATAATTTAACATACTTAATCATTCCCAGGAAATCTTCAGAAAAAGAAGACCTTGAAACAATCATTGCAGAACAAGCAATTGCAACAGGTAATGAATAAAACTGTTTAAGTTTATAATGTTAGGAAGCATATCACATCCCTGAATAACTAGTATTTATCTTAACATACTCATATTTATTTGTTAGCGACTCCCAACATGAAGTGTTTTCACTCTGGATGTGTTAATGCAGATTAACCCTTTCAGTAAGACAGGTTGTGTGGCCTCAAACATTTCCTCTTTTCATAGTGTTTGCTGAGAAGTAGATAAATCTGGGTGGGAAGATGATTCTCAGACTTTCATATTCACAGGCTTTGGTCTTTTTCATTTGTATATAAAAATTTCTGCTCAAGATAAATTAAAGAGTATTTTAAAAGAAGCTTCATGGGAAAATAATCTGCCACTGACATTAATAATTAGTTTCAGGGAAAAAGATAGATGAGTGACTGCTGTTGAGTCCTTTTCAGAGTAGGTGCAAGAAATTTGAGAGGTTACAGCCTTAGAAAAGTAATCCTTTTTAGAAATATAAACAACTACTTTATATCGTAACATTATTGGGAGATAGACACTCTTCTAAACATAATTCCCACATGTTACAATATTCCTCAAAGAGAGTAGCATTGTTTAGTACTTTACAAAAGAAAAATCTATGAAACTTCTCTGCAACAGAAGGAGACCATAACAGAAAATAACAACCAATCAGGGTTAGAGTTGTGGAGCCTGGTCTCAATGGTCACATCTACAAAATGCTCCCACACCTAAAGGCCAGGGAACATTGCAGAAGAAGGGGGTAGAAAGATAGCAGGAACCATGGGACAGGGAGGTTGTAAGAGTGTATCTCCTAGTAATATAAGAAGTTGCACTCACAAAGTTTCACCAACATGACTGTTCAAACAGGAACTGAACAGGGACAACACCCATGGACATGCCAAATTGAATGGGGAAGGCCCACAAGGTCTCAAGCCTAAACAAAGAACTATAGGCAAACAAGGAATCCTTAGTGTAGGAGAAATTGCTTTCCTGGGAGAAGAGAATACCAGTTCATCACCCAAAACCAAAAAGCCAACTCTGAAATGATGCATACGAGTAACAAAATAAAAACTGAAAAGTTTATATTTAGAAACATGTATATATATATATATATATATATATATATATATATACATATGCATGTATGTATGTAATAACAAGTAATAAAAAGGAGGGGCCATAGTTTGAAAGAGAGCAAGGAAGGGTGTATGGGAGGACCTAGAGGGAGACAGGGGTGAGGAAAATGATGTAGTTATATCATAATCTCAAAAATAAAAGAAATAATACAAATGTAGTGCACAGAGTATGGAGAGAAGTAGGAAGCTTGGGAAGGAGGCACTGAAGATAAATGACATAGTTCCCAAGTATTTGCTTTGGGAACATCAATAACAACAACAATAAAAATCCTGAAATCATCCCCAAACATAACCAAGTTTCATGTTGAAGATTAACTTCTGTTGTGACTCATGTTCAGCTGTACACTGTTACCTCTTGGGTAGAGGACACTTCAACAAGAGGCATGTTGTGTGGTTAGGAGAAAGACAGACAGACTCCATTTGAAATAGACTTAATCTTGGAACTCTAGTTGTTTTATACTTAAGAGAGATAAAAAGTCACGGACTCTACTCAATTATTCATTCTTGGTTTAAAAGAAACAGTTTGTGGATTGTTAATAAGAGTTACCAGAATTCTAAAAGCTTATCTCTGTTGGTAAGTTGAGTGTGAGCCCTGAGTGGCGATTTGAGTTAGTAAAGAAAGTTCATTACAAACCGCAGGCAGTTGTGCGTGGTGGCACTAGCCACCCCTTCTGAGTCAACACACTTGATGGCTAACTGAGCTGTATGCTTGCAGGTGTCCCGGTGGAGGCGCTCAAAGACTCCCTGGGTGAGGAGCTGTTCAAGATCTGTTATGAGGAAGATGAGCACATCTTGGGTGTGGTTGGTGGCACCCTGAAGGACTTTCTAAACAGTTTCAGCACACTCCTGAAGCAGAGCAGCCACTGCCAGGAGGCAGAGAGGAGGGGCCGGCTGGAAGATGCCTCCATCTTATGCCTGGACAAGGACCAGGACTTTCTAAATGTTTACTACTTCTTCCCCAAGAGAACTACAGCACTGCTTCTCCCTGGCATCATCAAAGCGGCTGCTGGCATACTGTACGAAAGCCATGTAGACGTGGCCCTGATGCCTCCTTGTTTCCGAAGCGACTGCGCCGAGTTTGTGAACCAGCCCTATTTGCTCTATTCTGTGCATGTGAAGAGCACCAAGCCTTCTCTGTCCCCGGGCAAGCCCCAGTCCTCGCTGGTGATCCCCACTTCACTCTTCTGCAAGACTTTCCCGTTCCACTTCATGCTGGACCGTGACCTGGCCATCTTGCAGCTGGGTAATGGCATCAGAAGGCTGGTGAACAAGAGGGACTTTCAAGGGAAGCCCAACTTTGACGAGTTCTTTGAAATTCTGACTCCCAAAATCAACCAGACATTTAGTGGCATCATGACCATGTTGAATATGCAGTTTGTCATACGGGTGAGGAGATGGGATAACTCAGTGAAAAAATCATCACGGGTAAGGAAAATGCAATATTTTATGCAAAATAGAACCAGTTGTTTCCTATTGAGGAGAAGAAATCACAAGACAAATAAGCACATGCCATTTGCTAATACATCTGTCTAAAATTCTAAAATGATTTCAACAAGTGAATTTCTTGGTATGTTTACTTTCTTGCCTAATTCATTCATTACAAATATTTATGGAATGCAGTTTACTGCCTGACCTGCAGGAGGGCCTGGGCTTTGATCCCTAACATTTCACAAAACCGGACTAGGTTATATCATGTTTCTAATCCCAGCACCCAGAAGGCAGAGGAATCAGAAGCTCTTTGATTATATATTCAGTTCAAGGCCAGCTCCAGGTAAATGAGACAATATCTCAAAACAAGGTTTGGGGCAAGATGGTTCAGTGGATGAAGGTGCTCACCACTAAACCTGAGGATGAGTTGGATACCTGGAATGGTGTGGTGGAAGTAAGCACAGTGGATGTCCTCACATACACACGCAGAAAGGTAAAGACACTTAGAGATAAGTAAACAAATATAAAATCAAGATAGAGAGCTTTATACCTAAGCTAGAAGTGTTCACAGGAGAATCTGCTTGTGATTATTATCAGATAGGTCACTGGCCTTGAGTAATTAAAAGCGTTTTCTACGAACAAAGCTGCATGTTGCAAGAAGAAAGTAAACAAATTTTAATGGATATATAAATATGTGAAAGAATAACTTGATGAATTGCTACAGAATGTATGGGGAAGGGAGGACATGTTTTCATGATAAAGAATGTTGGTGACCATGTAATCTCAGTAACAAAAGTTTGCTAACTCCATGGTGATGGTGCCATATACATAGATAAGGAGTGGCCTTAGGGTGCACTGGATGTTCTTCAAACTAAAAACAGCTGTATTGCTATTTTTTGCCCAAAAAAAAAAAAAAAAAAAAAAAACCCAAACACATAATTATTTTAAAATGGTGTTCATTGCATCAAAATCAAGGGAGGTGGTGTGTGTGTGTGTGTGTGTGTGTGTGTGTGTGTGTGTGTGTGTGCTTCTCTATATGTATACATGTGAATTGTATACATATAGGCTTCCCTTGGAAGCCTTATCTCTTACAGGCCCCTCTGGGTACATTTGTGTCTGTAGGTTGGATTGTACGTTTTCTTACGTTTTGGAAAATAGTCTTTGTTAGAAGCTGAAGGTAAAATTGAAACACAGACATGGCCTCTCCTATAAGGCCCAGATATCTTGGGCTGAAATTGCTAGAGAAATAATCATTTCCAAAAGATGTTTTCTATCTCTCTTGAGACAGAAAAAAAAAAAAAAAAAAGAAAAAAGGAAAAGTTTAGATACATATTTAGAGGCATTTTAATTTCTATCCCTGCCAGATGGAACAAGTAACTCATGGGAGAAAAGAAGAGAAGCTTGCTAAAATAGAAGACCAAATTAAAAAAAGAGAGAGAGAGAAGAAACCAAGTGAGAAAAGAGAGAAAGAATGAAGGGGACAGGCAGGGTGAATGGAAACTAGGTTTTTATAGGCACCACGTTATGTGAGAACTCTAACTTCAGATTAACCACATGAGAATATGAGAAGAATCTGGCAGCAACAGAGCCAGCGTGCTGCTTCAAGGAGCCCTAGAGCAAGACATGTTCTCACCGCTCACAGCAGCTCATAATCTCCGTGTGGTATATCCTAACACAACCTTCAAATGTCTGCATGAATTTCAGAACTGAGAGCGAACGGAAAGAGATTAAAAAGACTACTTTTCTACAGCAAATTAGAAACAGAATAGATTATCCTAGTATCCACTCCTAATGTCAGACCTAAAAAGATTACCCCAGTATGCACTCCGTCTCCTGTCCCAGAAAGGTTCAGGGACCTTGACTAACCCACTCTAACTGGTTCTCCTTTCCTTTCAGGTTATGGATCTCAAAGGCCAAATGATCTACATTGTTGAATCCAGCGCCATCTTGTTCTTGGGGTCACCCTGTGTGGATAGACTGGAAGATTTCACAGGACGAGGGCTCTATCTGTCTGACATCCCAATTCACAATGCCTTAAGGGATGTTGTCTTGATAGGGGAGCAGGCGCGGGCTCAAGATGGCCTCAAGAAGAGGCTGGGGAAGCTGAAGGAAACCCTGGAGCATGCGCACCAAGCCCTGGAGGAGGAGAAGAAGAAAACGGTGGATCTGCTCTGCTCTATCTTTCCCAGTGAGGTTGCCCAGCAGCTGTGGCAGGGACAAATGGTTCAGGCCAAGAAGTTCAGTAACGTCACCATGCTCTTCTCGGATATCGTAGGCTTCACGGCCATCTGCTCTCAGTGCTCACCTCTGCAGGTCATCACCATGCTTAACGCTCTCTACACGCGCTTTGACCGTCAGTGCGGAGAGCTAGACGTCTACAAGGTAGGCGAGGGGGAGCAAGATCGGCTTAGCCCGCAGGTTTGCCTCGAAAGGCACTGTGGCTAGCACCTGAGGGAACGACGATGCCGATGGACAGCTCTCTGCTTTTGGGTCACACAGGCTATATCTGGGGGTCAGGCATTGTGCATTAATTATGGGGATGTTCTCCAGCCAGAAATAGCTCGATAAGAACCAGTCGTTCCCAGAGAGGTCTGCCACATTGTCTTTTAAAAATGAACATAGAACAATGGCGAGAGATTGGGGTGAATGTCTGATTCTTCTGGTGAAAAGGTATGGACTAGCCACCCATGGACCAGCCACTTAACTGTGGAAACTTAGTTAAACAAGACCTAATTAAAGCTATGACTCACAGAGAGGATCTTTATCCTTTGTATCTCTAAAAATAAAGAAACAAAGGGTGTATGCAAATTGTCCTAAAATAGATTAATTCAATGCACAGTTTACTTGATACTTTTCACAGGAGAGCAGCATCAGCTCCTTAAGACATTTAATGCACCTTCATCAAAGGCAGGTACCCTCAAAATAGAGAGCCCCGCCCCCAGATCCTGGCCTCTCCTTCTCTTGCTTTGTGAACAGAGCAACTGATTTCCCAGTTACAAAACAGCAAAAGCAATAGCCATCCCCAGAGCTTACATCCACAAATGACGTACCATGTCCCAGAACCTTTGTGAACAGCACCATTATAAAGATTTTGTAGATGCCAAGTTTTGCGGCTCAGGCTCTGGGATTCTTTGAGGGGTGCCAGTGACCCTGTAGGTGCCTGTGTAGACACCGAGGATCCAATAACACACTTATGTCCGGATGTCAAATATGAAATTTCTTTAAAAAATATTATGAAAAAGGAAAAAAAAATGAAATTTCAGGTTCTCTTTGTTCTGTTCAATTCAAAGGTTTCACTGGCTTAAATTGATCTTGCCTTGTTTTAGACAGTGGCAATAGGAATAAAACGTTCGTCTTTGCCTGACTCAAATCATCTGTTTAACTTGTCATGGGGGCTGGTTAGTCCAGAGTTCAGCCCAACAAGAAAGAAATAAACTGTTGGGAGGAAGCAGGCATTGTTTATGGGAACACATGGACCCTGCCTTGTTTCTGTGGGGATGCTAGAAGCAAAACCCTTGTCTTGTGAAATTTCTTACAGGAAATCTCAGAAGGAGTTAGGATTTTCTCTTTGGGGAGAGAGGAAGAGGCCCTTGTATAATTACAGATAAAATAATTGGCACCAGTTCACTTACATTTGATGGTCTCCTGTGGAATTTAGTGTTGATTTCTAGCTATGTTTTCCATGGAGAATGGTTCCTGTCTCAGAACTAAGAGAGTTTTTTTGTTGTTATTGTTTTTCATCATGCATCACAGCTGTGAGTGTTGAGGAAGCACTTGTCACCTCCTGATTTTAGTTACAATGGTTCTATCGAAGATTCCTAAGCTATATCCCCTCCCCAAAGGAGGGTGTTCGCAGAGTTCCTTGGCTAACAGGCTTCAGCTGGAGCAGGATAGTTTACCACTGTTAACCTTTTCCCCAGCTCTCTCTCCTGCTTTGTCATTTCTGATTTGACATGAAAATAGCTTTTGATAAATGTGAAGAGTCTATTTTTAAAACATTATAAAGAATTCTTTAAGAGTTTCATGCGTTGTATTTTGATCATATTAATTTCCCTCCCTGAACCTCTCCCTCCTGTCTACCACCCAACTTCATGATGTCTGTCTCCTGGTCAAAACCCCCCAGATCCAGTGTGTGTTGGCCAACAGCTAATGGGCATAGGGCCTGCAGAGGGGTACACTCAGTATATCAGGCATCACATCATTAAAGAGAACTGACTTTCCATCTCCCAGCAGCTATCAAATGCCAAATGTTCCTTTTCAGCAGGGGCTCAAACTCCATTCCTATGTACCTTCCTCCTTGCTGGGATTTCATCCAGGTGGAGTTTTCATAAGACTTGTACATGCTGTTGCAATCACTGCAGGTTCCTATGTGCTTCTTCTCTTTTGCATCTGTAAAACACTGTTGTTCTGAGGTCGCCGTCCACCTCTGTTCCAACAATGTTTCTGTCCGCTCTTCCAAGTAGAGCCCGTGCCTGGAGAAGAGGGTATGTTATAGACGCCTGTTGAGGGTGAACATTTCAAAGTCTCTTGTTCTCTACACATTGACTGGTTGTGGGTCTCTATATTAATTACCATCTACTGCAAGAAGAAGATTCTCTGGTGGGGTTTGAGAGATGCCCTGATTTGTGGTATAGCAACATACTTCAATGCTCTGTACATTTATCAGAATAATAGTAGTAGGTTTTTACTCACAGCCCATGACCTCTCTGGTCTCAGGTTCTTGGTCCCCTTGACAATATCAAGTGCAGGTTCCATTTTGTGGAATGAGCTGTAAATTTATTTTTTAAAAAGTGGCTGGTTACTCCCTTAACATTCATGCAATCAGTGGCCATGTCTTGAGAGGCAGGTCATTAATGTAACACACAGTGCTCAAGTTGGGTAAGATTGGTTATTAATTTTTCCCCAGTGAGCTTCAAAGGACCATCTAGCACTATGAAAGCTAGCCAGTAGGACGGTGGCTTCCAGTTATGTACCAGCTAACTTCTTTATGTACCATGACCCAAACATGTTGTGTTCAGGAGTAGGAGCTTACCTCCAAGAGAGTAGTTCATAGCATTGGCAATAGCTTGTAGTTTTACGAAGTCTAAGGGACCTCTATTAGCCAACACCTCAAAAGGGGTAATTCATTCCTGCTACTGTGCCTTATCTATCAAATGTGCACAGCATGAACTGTAAGTGAAAATGACTCTAGAGAATAGTCCACTGCTCTTGTAGGAGATAACTCCGTGATTTCATTTTCTTTTTGAATTTCAGTCTTTTGGGCATTGTCCAGTTTATTTCTTTGTTCTTTATCTATTATCTTAGCAAAGAATTGTTGATTTACCCTGAATTTGTTTTCATGAGTGGGTAATGAATACCACTGGCACAGTCTGAGAAGGAGGGAGAGTTACATGTGGAGAGAAAAGGGGAGCAAACTGATGTCCACTTTCTATGTGATGCTTTGGACGCCTAACTATCCAAGTAGACATGAACTATGATGACAGCAGAGAGAATAAGGCACCCACCTTGCAGGACATGGGAAAAACATTCCTTCTTAATGTTGTGTTGGGACACTATGCTACCTTGTGCTCTATGATACTTATGAACTCCTTGCCGAGGAAAAGCAGGAAAGCCAGGCCGTGTTGCCTGTTTGTGTATCACTGGGTGCAGGCGATGCAGTGCATTCAATGGACACACTTAGAGCCTTTACATTTTAGTGCGGCAGAAGACTGTATGGCTACATAACATTCCAGTTAGTGGCATGTTTGGGAAGAAATAAGGCCGATTAAGGAGTAGAGGAATTACAGATGCTAAAGAATTATAGCTTTATTCAAGGCTGAAAACAGACAGCTCTAATAAGATGATGTTTTAAGGGCATGGGTGATAAGCAAACCTGTACCTGCTGTTTGTTTTAGGCAAATGAAGAATGAGTGAGCCCCTGCTTGGTGTGTTTGAGTCATAACAGAAGTTCAGTGACATGAGCAAGAGACATAGTGAGAAGACAGAGACATGCCTTAGCAAAAGCAAGCTGAGAACTCTGGACGCATCCCAAGTGCTGTAGTGGGCCATCGATAATGGAAATTATTTGAAGCATTATCACAATGTTTGTCCCTCTTCCCTTGGTTTGGACTCTAGATGAGAATACCATGATGTAAGGACAGGACAAGTTCAACCACTTGGATTAGAATAATTACCTGTGTATTTTAATTGATGAATAAACACTTTGCTCTCTGTATATACATAGAGATACAAAGTTGCTTGTGGAAACAGCAATGAAGATCACACCAAGCATAGTTCAAATTTAAATAACAGCATCTTTCACAATATATTTGCAATATTGCTTTCATTCCCTAGCTGACAATCTGGCTTCTATTCATCCTTTGTGATTAATATCCAAGTAGGCCCTAAATAATTGCCTAAATTCTCAGAAAATTTTTAGCAAAGCCCCCTCCCATTTTTGCTTTCATTGCTTTTATTGCTATCAGTGCCTTTGTTTTACATCATACTTTTGTATTGCAGTCATATGACATTGTTTGGAGGGTGAATTCACACAAAATGCAGTTTGGTATTGGTGGAAAATTCATTATGTGTGAGTGTATGACAGGAAACTGATCCTGCTATCAAAATTTACTATTCAAACTCTGAGCTGGCAAAGATCCACAGACAGAAAGAGCACTTTCTGTCCTTCCAGGGGACATGAGTTCGGCTCTGAGCACACACAAGGGCCCTGGCACAACTGCTTGTAACACCAGCTCCGGGAAATCCAATGCCCACTTCTGGCTGCTGTAGGCACCCACATGTACTTTGGTTACAAACACACGTACACATAAATAAACATAAATTCATGAATAAAAGCAAAATCTAAAAATCAAATCCAATTGTTTATTTAAAAAGCCACTTTACATAGTTTTGTCTTCTTTTGTTTTGTTTCTTTGTCATTTGGTTTGGTTTTTAAGGAAAGACCATGAGGGTCGCAGTGAGTCTACTACAGAGACCATGTGATCATATGATAGTGTATCTGCAGACTGTGCTGTCTTTCAGTTCTCTACCCTGAGGTCAGCGATTGGCACCTTATGTAATTTATGAAATGAAAAACTACTTCTGATACGATGTCCCTCACCGGGCTTCCTCATAGGGCCCGAGCACTCAGGTGTCAGCTTTATGGGTCTGCTGTGCTGTCCTCTTCTGAGCTTTTACTTATAATGGACAGATTTTATTACATCTAGGTGGAGACCATCGGGGATGCGTACTGTGTGGCTGGGGGACTGCACAGAGAGAGTGACACCCACGCCGTCCAGATAGCACTGATGGCCCTGAAGATGATGGAGCTCTCCAATGAGGTCATGTCTCCCCACGGAGAACCCATCAAGGTAAGACAGTGATTAGGGTGCACGTTAGTTGGTTGTCAAAAACCTGGAGCATTAACCAGGGTTGAATTTTAAAGAACAAAAATCTTCTCAAACCTTTTCAGGTGTGTGTGGGGGAAAGACCATAGGCTGTCCTATGGCCTTACGAGATATTTCAGATGACTGAAAATTCCAGTTTGTATGCTGGGTTTTCAAAAATGTCTCTTAAAGATCTGCAGAGGCCCACCGCTTTACCTATGGCATGGAAGCACACAACAGAGCTACAGCCCCACATTTATGGTAGGAAACCCTCACATCAGAAAGTTGTTTCTTGTAGTGTTGGCTGCAAATTGAACCAGGATGGAAGTTCTGCATCATATGTAGGATGTGAGACTGGTACACAGGTTCCCACTGTGCATGCCATAGGAATACTCAGAGCTTCCACAATGGGAGCCACAGGTGCAAACTCAAGGGACACAGTCTCCATGGAAAGACGACTGTCCAAAGCTGTGCATATCTGTAGCACCCACCACACTTTGTGCATCTAGAAATTGCCAGGCAATAAAGTGATTGTTTTCATCAATAGCTGAAGATATTCCCTAAGAGTATTGGCTATGGGTTGGCTATTCTAACTCTATAGAGGTTCACTGAGATACACAGATTGAGTATGGTCAATTTTACTGCCTGGTATTTTTTTTTCACAAGTTCTTTATAATAAATTTTAATAGATAATTAAAACTGAAAAATATGGATTATGGAACCAATGCTATTCTCCAGGCATGTGACATTGTACAAATTTTAGATGAGACCTGGCCAGAATAAAGTGCTACTGCAAAAAGAACATACCAGGTAATATAAAAGCAAAAAGTGATATACCAGGTACTGATTTAATAGATGAAACCTGAGTGGATAAAGCAGTTATCTTATAGTGAATTTACCAACTAATCTTATAGAAGACTCTTCACTTTTCAGCAATGAGTCCTTAAAATAACACAGAATTCAACTTTCTGATATCCAATTTCAAGAAAGACAAAAACAAAATTTAAAAATAAAACTATAGTAAAGACAAGTTTAGCCTTGGCCTTCTGTAATCTTAGGAGAAGCTGTGTGTCTAAGCCTTCACGGCATTTTCAAATTCAGCTGTTAACTCATTCATATATCACTGTCAAATGCTTTCCAGCATTTACTAGTGTAAATTCACAGCCACTTGTGTGCTGATTTTGTGCATCATGCGTCTGAAAAAGTTCTGAGCTGACTTCCAAGTCTTTGCTGTACAATATCTGGAATGCTGGTTGGGCATAAGCAAGTAGATGAGGGTGTACGGAGAGGTTGGGATTGCAGGAGCAGAAGGGTCCATTCCAAAATAGCAGCTTTATTCGCCTGCTGGGTAGATGGTAGAAAGCCTGGTATCAGCTGTTATTGTCTGCTCACAGGTTACATACTTCAGCATGGTGGGATGAGAGTAGCTACATTCCTCTCCTGGTGGCTAACACGCCAGCGAGTGCCTGGTGGGAGATACTACATGGCCTTTAAGACTTACCCCTACACAGCACACAGAGACATTTCCATCTAGTCTGTTGTCAGATCAATCACATGTGTTCAAGGGTGGAGGCACAGGCCCCAAATCTGAAGCAAACGAGCGAAGAATAGTTTACAGCTGTGTTTTACAAGCTTCCCAGCATTTCACATTCACAGATTTAGTTTCTATAGTTACACTTTTTAGAGAAGAAACATGAGTTTTTCCTAATATATTCATAAGAGAGTTCATAACATCACAATAAATGTTAAAAATATCTAGACTGTTAGCATTAAAGCCAATGAGTGCCACATAAATTATTTTTATATGTCTGATTCATATCAGGAGATTAATGGTAGGCTTTTCGTTAGTTGTCTCCATGTAGTTTTTCTTACTTTTGCCGCTAGGAGAATTATTTATAGTGAGCCTTAAAGATAATTACCTGGCTAATAACAGGCTAGCCTTAGGGACCTGTGAAGTGAGACTCAGTAAAGAGGTCTCTAATTGTCTATTCATTAGCAGTCCTGAGAAACACTTGATGGATTTAGACCCTCGTGAACACTACAGGGCTGAGTGAGGAGTGCTTTAGCACACAGGGAAACATGAGTGTGTTTGGAGGGCTGCTCACTGTGATTCAGACATTGCCTTGCATAATTTCTGGGACAACATTTTAAAGGCTGGTCAGCTTTTTTGGGAATCGAGATTGCAAGTCTTGGATTCAGCAGACCCCCTTGTTTTTTACCTGGTTTTCTCATAGAAAAGTAGAACCTATTTCCATGGGTTTTTTTTTCTTTTGTTTTCCCATCTGTTTGGGTTTCCTTCTAACTGGGTGCTGTTCTCTTGCACAGTCATAAGTATCTGTCATGAAGTCACTTCTCCTTACTGCTGTCCTCATTCATTATCACCCACTTAGGTTTGGAACACTGGGAATAGGCAACCAAGGCTTTGACTTCACAGTGGAAGTCAGTAAGCGGCAGGAAGGGGAGAATCCACAGTGGGTGCTTCCTTACTGAGCCCCAGAACCTCAGAGGACAAAGGAACTCTGCCAGACAGTCCTCACATAGAGAGCATCCCTGAGAGGGTCCCTCCAAGAGCTCCTGAGAGAGATGGCATTCTCCTTGACTTTCATGATTTCACCTTCTTTTTCTTATGAAAAGAAATCCATTCACACATGTTGCTCATTGTGTGCTATGGATGAACTTTTGTTCTTGAATTTGGGGGGGGATAAATATGAGATTGAGAAGTGGAGAGGGGGAGAAGAGGTATGCTGTGGGAGGACACGTGGGCTTTGGCTAGATCTGTGAGGGGAACACACACATTACTTATGAAATGAAACAACAAAATGCTATAGTAAATTTGTCATTTGAAAAATCAGAACATTAATACATACAGAGAAACTGGCTCAAGAGAGAATACCCAAGAGAACAAAAGCTCCTCAGCACCGTTGTGCTAAGGTTGAACTGATGGCCAATTTACTATTGTGCACCTGTTAGGTGTGTAAATCTGTATTCTCCTAAAGGAAAAACAAAATAAAACAAAACAAAAAAACTCAGGTTGAGTAGACATCTAAGTTTTGCTTCTTGGTGTAGAATTATTGTTTTAAGGACCATTCGCCCGTGTGTTTTATAGATGAGGAAACAATCAGAGGGATACACAGGCACAGGGAGGAGCTCCTCAGTGGGCTGCTTTCCCGGTGTGCTGCTTTGAAAATGCGGGGGAGTATGTGATATGACATCCTGAATGACTTTGGTCATCTCTAGCAAATGCCCTAAGTTTGCTATAAAAGGAAGGAAATCTCGGGCTGGAAAAATGGCCCAGCAAGCCTAGTGAGTTCTAGCCTCAGTCCTCGGAGGGAGGAGGAGCGATCCCACTCCACAGAGCTGTGCATGAGCCACCACACCTGGAAAATAAAAACGTTTTTTAAAATAAAAAAATGTGCAGAGTCCTTTAATTATAAGCAGTTCCTCAGATAACCAAGTCTTTGACCTTGTTTTTAGAGTACACATAGTTAATGGAACCTTTCAAATGACCCGCTAGACACAGAATCTGAAAACAGTGAACATGATATGATGTCATTACCATCTATTAACCTGTTTGCTGCAGCGCTCAGTTAAAAATGTGGGCATCCTCTCCCTTCATCAAGGAAGTGGACGAGCTCATTTAAAAGTATTTCATCCTAATTCCAACATTCTGAGATGGAGGCAGGAGAATCAGACTTTCAAGACTATCCTCTGTCCAGTTTAAGGATAGCCTGCAAGGCATGAGACTACAGGGGCTCAAAACAGAGAGAAAATGTGTGAAAACAGAAATGAGAGAAAACAGAGAGAAAGATCATATCTTCTATTTAGGCACTGCCTAAGTTTCATGTTATGTGAGTCTGGATTTAAGTTTCGCAAGTCTAGACAGTATAGATTGTAAACACGAGGATCTGGGTCCCAGACACTCTGATTTTCCTTGTCCTCTGTCATTTCCACCTTAATATTACAGTTTGGTTTTCCCAGTTCTTAGTCATTTAAATAAAGGACTAGTGTTTACCATAGAATTATTTTAAAGTAAAATTGTTTTTAGATCGCATTCCTTTTATTTTGAAATTGAAGTCTGACTGTCTTGGCCAAGCTGACCTCAAACTCCAGAGTTCAGTGGATATTCTTGCTTTAGCCTTCTGAGTACCCAGAACTACAGGTGTGTCCTCCTCTGTCCTTATTTCGAGAGTTTCCAGCTACAGTCCGGAAAGGATGTCTTTCCTCTTTTTTAATGGACAGAGCAGGTGAGCAGCCCACGGGGACTTTGTTATTCAGCGGCAGGGATCTAAGTGGCCTGAGAACAAGTTTTTTCCAGATGTTAAGGATAGGTGGGACAAAACTGAAGAGCCAAAGGAGCAGAGTTACCAGCTGTGGTCCCTGGTAACATCTCATTGCATGATCAGTGGTGGCTCACTGGAGGTTCCACGGAAGAGAGGGGTGGTGTGCTGGAATTAGTTACTGATTAGAAACATCTAGACAAGACACTCAAGCAATACTGACAAGTGGGAAGTGATGTTCCAGTGACCTGGAACACTGTTATCTTGCTTTCAGATGCGAATTGGACTGCATTCTGGGTCAGTGTTTGCCGGAGTTGTTGGAGTAAAAATGCCTCGCTACTGCCTGTTTGGAAACAATGTCACTCTGGCTAACAAATTTGAGTCTTGCAGCGTGCCACGGAAAATCAACGTCAGCCCCACGACATACAGGTACTAAGTACATTCAGAACCTGAAAGGCATGGCTTCCATTTGGATGCAGTTGTCTCTTTAGTCACCCTGTTTCTGCATTGGAAATCTTACAGGAAAACGAAATGAATAACTTTAGCCTTCTTAGTTTATCTTGCTCTAAGGCTGTCACTATCCTCAGAAGATAATTTGTAGCATTAACTAATTGCATTTTCTTCCATAATTTTTCATTCAATATATCAGTGGGTATTCAGATACCAACTGCTATCCTGCAGTACAATTCTAGCAGTACCTACTCGGAATTAATATAATTATAACATTTTATGGAGGTAGTGCTCAACAAATCTGATTGAGCTCAGACAACTGCCACACTGCAGGGGTGTTTGGGCCATATTACTTTTGGTCAACTAACTACAAATAAGAGGGCCCCCCTGACTCTTTCAAATTAGTCTCCTAGAATGCTGCCTGATTCAGATGTTACCCAAGCAATCCCAGACACTTCAATTGTAAAGAATATAAGTCAGGTTCAGCCAAATGAAGGTACATATGGGGTGAGGTCTGGTTGGGCTCCAAATGCAGAATCCCTGCAATCTGGACTTATTACTGCCTCTTGCCACAGCAGTGGGATCATAAAAGGAGGTTCTGCCTCTTTAAGGGTTGATGCCTTCTTTCCCTGCTTCCCCTATGGAGGGAGGGTGGACAGGGGTCACCAGTTTCTGGTCCCCTGACCCAGCCTCCCTGAACCTACAGGATATTTCAGGAATCCTGATCTCATTCTGAGTCATCTCATTAACATAAATTGAGGTGGGATCCAAAGAGCTCATAGAAAATAACAGTTACTCTGTAATTTAGGAAATTCTCCAGGGTTTGAGGGTCAGTTGCTCCCTCCAATGAAGGGCAAGGGGTAAATCCTCTGTTTGAGAATAGTAGGAACAAGAAAGTTCAGCAGAGAAAACTGTTGGGTTACTAAACAGTTCAGTCAATGTTCTTGAGGACCAGCAATGGTGACATCCTAACACCAGTACCAAGTGTCATCCAGTTTCAAGAGGACCTCTTAGTGTGCATAGTGTGGCACAGACCTTAAACCCCAGCTACAAGGGAGGCTGAGGCAGGATATGACCAAGTTCAAGGCTAGTTTGGACTACAGTGTGTTCAAAGCTAGCCTGGGAAATTTATGAGACCCTGTCTCAAAATGAAAGTTCAAAGGATGGGGCTGGAGAGATGGCTCAGCAGTGAACAGCAGCTGCTGCTCTTCCCGAGGGCGCAAGTTCATTGCCCAGCACCCACACATGAACCTTTTAACTCCAGCTCCAGGTGAATCAGCACCTTCTCCTGGCCTCTTAGGCACAATGCACTGCATATGCAAACAGAACGCCCATACACCTAAAACATAAATAAATAATTAGTTTAAAAAAAAGTTGAAAGAAGACTGGAGACATAGCTCAGTGGTAAAGGGCTGAGCTAGCATACATAGAGCCTTAGGTTCAATCTCCAGTACAGCAAAGGACAACAAAACAAAAACAGACCTCTCTTTCTACTTCTTTGAAAATATGTAAGCAGCCTGAGCCAGGTACTTACCTACATTTAAACAGAAAATAAGCAGTCCTTCCATGTCCATAGACTTTTATTTATTCCATAAATTTTGTCCTGTTTAAAAAAAACAAAAACATTTAATGGAAACCCCAAAGAAACAGAAACTATTCTACATCCCCACAGATCACAAGAATATCATAGTATTTAGTCTCTTGAAAACATAAAATTTTTCTTATTGCCAAGTTAGTCTCTTGCTGCTCCTGTGCATTGATGATCCATTCTACAAAAGCATACCAACGGTGAGTAGAGGACCAACAGGAGCAGAGGGAGCTCCTTCGTGAGCTGCGGACGAGCCTCCTTTGACAGTGTGCTGACCGAGCTTGCTTGAAGCCCTGGTGGTGTGTCCAGCACTGCATCTACCAGGAGTGGCCCTGCATGCCTGTGATCCCAGTGCTTAGAAGATGGGGTCAGGAGGGTTAGAAGTACAAGGTCATGCCTAGGTCCACAGTGGAAGCCAACCTGGGCTACATGAGGCATAGGCTCCTCCCACCAAAAAGCTCATTTGAGTTCTGTTTATAGAATTCATTTTAAAAGTCCATTACTATTTCAGGAAGTAACTTTCATATCAGTTTTATCATTTCACCTCTTTTTCATGGCTTCTTGCGTGATTCCTTCCTAGTTGCATTTATATAATTAATGACAATGACTTAGCATTTTTAACTTAGGAAATCCTTTTCAACAGCATTAAAATGATACATGCTTGCTATTATGAAAACTTTAGGTAATTTTTTGTTTAGGAATTCCATTGTTCTATAAATCACATCTTCCCCAAATATCTTATGATTAATCTTTCTTGTAATATGAGTCAAGTGTATGAGTGAGTAGAATTTTCTATGCATTTGATTCTCTGTAGCATTTCTTTCATGGGACTGTCTGTTGACTTATGGATATCCTTTTGTCAACCATACCTACTATGACAACAGTAGTAATATTCACTTATTGTCTTCCTGTCCTGAGTTGCCAAATGTTTCTGTGGCATTAAGTTTTCAATATATTTTAAATTTTTTTCAGGTTACTCAAAGACTGTCCTGGTTTTGTGTTTACCCCGAGATCGAGGGAGGAGCTTCCACCAAACTTCCCTAGTGACATCCCTGGAATCTGTCATTTTCTGGATGCATATCAACAGCAAGGTCCTAATTCTAAGCCATGGTTTCAGCAGGGAGACGTGGAAGATGGAAACGCCAACTTCTTGGGCAAAGCGTCAGGAGTAGATTAGCGAGCCACAGGCATGTGCACTGGATGCCTTTGCGGAAGTGCGGAACCTCTGAAATGACTTTAGGATTTCAGAAGATGAAAGGCAGAACTATGGTTTCAGAGGCTAAACCCATTCTCCTCTCTCTCCCATTTAAGATGGCAAAAGGAAGAAATAGAAATGTGTTCACTTCAGCGCGTCACCCCCCTTCTAGTTAAGAAGCAAACGAACCTCAAGAGTGACTTTTGGGGAGACAGTTTTGTTCTAGAACAACCACTACTTGCACTCAAAACCCAATACACTGTAAATATTCCAGGCAATTGTAGTCAAGTGCAGCTGTACAAAGTAAAGGATTCACCTCAGCCTGTCCCCATGAAACGCTGTTGCTATTGAAGTGTGTGTGGTAGTGTCACCTTTAAAACCTATGAAAAGAAATGGCAACATTAATTCTGTAAGAGCTTTGGGCCTTTCAACTTTGCATCTAATTAGAGCCCCTTATTTAGCCACAGCATAGGAAACTCCTCAGGCCCTGCCTTCTGTTCAGCTACATCTTTGTGAGTATGTATGTGGTTTCCTTTTTTTTTTTTTAAGAAAATAAGTAATTAGCCGTTATATGAAATGTGGATAAAATAGTTCTGCAAATATAAAAGAATATTTTTATGTTTTGACATTAAAAATATTCTCTAGAGCACAATATATATCATACAACAAATGCTTTTTTGGTTTTGATACTATATGTGATAAAACCTATTCTAATTATTGTTAAAAAGATGCTTCCTATTAATCCATATAAAATCTACTAATCGCAAAACTTTTAGAATAAAAATGCTTATAGCCATAGTTAAATGCAATAATATTCTAATTTAATGAAGGAAACGTGACATGGAGTTAAGGCTTGCACACAGAGACCCTGATACAGAGCACAACAGCAAAGCGTTCACACACACGTGTTTAAATGATCCTCTACTGCCACGTTCAGCCATAAAATCCAAGAGGGAAAGTTTTAGCTCAGAAGTAGAAAACAAAACTTATTTTTCTGTTTTTTGATAGTTTCTTAAGTATTTCTGTTGACATTTTAGTGTATGTGTATGTGTTAAGAATAAAATTTTGTATTATTCAGTGTTAAATCTGTGAAAATTGTATTCTAGTTAAAATATCCTAATGACGTCTCCTGAAGAAACCACTAGTACCAGTGAAGAAAACCTCACCATGACTTGATTCTAATTTTTTTCTGGAGTTTGAACTAATTTCCCTTCCATCCTCTGCCCTCCTCTCGATTCCCTTGCTTCCCCTGTCATTGCGCATGTATGCGTGAGTCTGTGGATTAAGCACAGGGCCTGTGCATGCTAGGCAAGGCTGTGTTATTGAGTGACTTCTTCACCACGGAGCTTGGATCTTACTGCTAATGGTGTTCCTCCTAAATAAGTCCCAATGTTCAATTTGGTGAAAATAATATGGCTTCAAAACAAGAGAAACTTTAAAGCAAGAGAAAGATGCTTAGCTGAGTTTTTTAGTCAGTATTAGCAGAACTGTAGATATGTTGACTTTTTATGTAAGGATTTAAAACAAAAACAAACAAACAAACAAAAAAAACACCTCAGTTTAAAAGTTCTTTACTACCTCCATTAGTCTCCAGCATCAAGAATAACAGTCATCATTTGCCTAGCTCTAGTTTCCTAGGGGCATGACTAACCCGCACCCCAACCTCAAAAAAATCCAGTGGTTTTCCTAAAAGGCTTGTAGTGTTTCATTAAACAGTCACACCGATGTTGGAGAGTGTCACAGACCTTGCAAAAGTGTATTAATAGTGTCACAATGATGTGAAGTTCAACAAATATATTAAGAAAGTAAAGAGGTAAATACACTCTTCTTCTGGAACTAAAATTTAATACAAGGAAAGCAATGGGAATTACAGGCAATTAGAAAGCATAAGGCATCACACTATCCCCTTAACCTGTGCATTTAGGTAGTTGCTACATTAGTGATCATTAATTAGGATTAGTTCCATGCTGTCTTTTAGGGATGGAGACGAAGTTCAGCGGCAGAACACCAGCCTAGCATTTAGGCGGTCCTGAGTTTCAACCCAAGCAGCACAAAGGAGCTACATGTATCTCTCATATGTGTACAATGTCTGATCACACCCACCTGTGTCACTGTGCACACCTGGAGCGAAGGGAGGAACTTCATATACCCCAAGTAAAAGAAGAGTGGGGGCTCCATGTGTTCCTGTGAACGAAGAGTGGGGC